GGGAGGGAGGGAGGGAGGAAGAGAGGGAGGGAGGGAGGGAGGGAGGGAAGAAATAAATACACAATATCCAGTCAATGATTTTAAGAGCTCAGGCTTTTTCTTCCCAATTCAACAGTCCTACCCCCCTTCCCACTTTCTCGTGGCATTCAACTAGAATCTTAGTCTTAACTAGAGGGCCCAGTTCTCTTGAACATCCAGAGAGGCTCTTCACATATATCTTCTTCTTCCAGATGTCTTTAATGAAAATGGGTATAAACTTTGCAGTATAATTTCTCAGAGATGAGAAAAGACTCCCTTAAAATACAGACAATCCCTACCTATTGACTGTATTCCAGAGAAGAGCATGGAATGTAGGAACTTGAAGCTCTTTTTATGGCTAATGGCTATTCCTAACCTTTGGTGCTACCCAAAGTACCAATTTCAAAACATAGACATGATTCTTAAGCACCATTCATGTAATAAACAGCACTATGGGCTTTTGATCTTTGGAGGGAGAATCTTTGTTTTTTCCTAAGTATTTGAGCTTTGTTCTCAAGTCAATTGGTTTTCCTTGACAAAATAAAGAAAAATCCTGAGATGTCCCTGAACACAATAAAACCTAGCACACTCTTTAGATCAGAATGATAGGTCAATAAAACCCAGACTTTGTTGTTCATTTTCCTTCACACATGGTCAGGGTGGAGGATATTAAGAAAGAGTAGAGGCCCAGACTTCTGAGCTTAGAAAAACACCTAACACCCTTTGCAAGTTTACAGAAAGGGTCTGATGATTAATACGTTAATTAATACTCTTTGGATATTTCTTAGATACTCACAAATGCTGTTTTGCTCTTTTACTCGATTCTCACTCAGTGCCCAGGCTTTCAATGGGCACCTTCCATTCTCTGAGATCTGCCTTCACTCACTGCTACTCTAATCCTAGTTTCCTCTTGGAACAAAATCAATCATAAAACTAAGGTGAGGCTCAGTGCTGGTAGTTCACACCTGTAATCCAAATTAATCAGGGGGCTGAGATCTGAGGATCATGGTTCAAAACCAGCCTCAGCAGAAAAGTACATGAGACCTTTTAGCTCCAATTAACTAGCAAAAACAAAAAATGGAAGTGGAGTTGTGGCTCAAATGGTAAAGCTCCAATCTTAAGCAAAAATAGCCAAGTGAGAGTACAAGATCCTGAGTTCAAGCCCCAGTAATGGCACCAAAGTATTTTTTAAAAGAAAAGTTTCCTATCTAAGGCCAGGATATCTCTGGACTTATTTGGGATACTTTTCTCACATTCAAACAGCAAACCTCATGATAACTAATTTACCACAGCCGACCATGCAGCCATTCACTCATGTTTTTGAGAGAGGCCGTTTCTGGTTTTGTATTTGGAAAGACCTTCCAAGAGCAGGCCAGGAAAAATCCCTGGATGCCAGGCCACTAGACAAGAGTTTCCAGGAACTCCAAATCACCATAGCTCCCTTCCCCCAGATATGGAAAAGATCCAAAAATGTAAGTTTCCTACCACGCTTGGAAATAACCCTTTAGGACAAACTGTTTCTATTTTCTTCCCACCCCTAAAAAAATAATCAATGGCTATTCACAAGCACAGTGTGTTGTGAGACTAGAGACCTCTAAGAGATATCTCCCAACTGCCACCAAAAAGAAAGAATGTGCCCTTTGGTCTCTGGGAGGACATGGTACAGCATTTCTAGTGACCCAGCCTGCAGAAGCCGAAGACAGGCTACTTGGGTAGTGGGGAGAGGGCCTACCTGTGTAGCCAGCCAGGGCAGCAGCAGGAATGACAGGCTTGTCCTTGTTGAGGTCAGCACGGTCACGCACATAGTCCTTGAAGGTGCCCTTGGGCTTGTGGTTGGGCAGGGCAGAAGGGTAGTCCTCGGAGTCGAAGCTGTCATAGGATGGAACACGCTGCAGGCTGTTGAAAGATGACTGGCTGCTCCAGGACTGGGTTAGGCGATCACAACTATCGTAGCTCTCTATGCTCTCAAAAGAGTCCTGGCCCCCGAGCTTTCCTGGAGATAAAGGAGGAGAGGTCGGAAGAGGACAGGGGAGGAGGGATTGGGGAAAAAAACAACTGTAAAAACCCTCTTATGGAGGAGAGACTGCTAATCAGATCTGTAGGATGGATCAAAGAAGGAAAGGGGCCCAGGGAAATAAAAGCTTCAGAGATCTTCAATCTCCTCTGAGGAAAGGGACTGAGCTGCAATCTGAAAAACCCACTGCCATTCTGCTGCCTGACTTACAGTTCCTAGTATAGGTACTCAGGTTCAAGGGCTGCTCAGAGCTGCCAGAAAAATAAGGCAGTGTTTAGGACCTCAAGGATTCCAAAGCCACAAGGAATGGGTGACAAAAATACTTAATACTTTTTAAAAAGAATTCCAAAGCCACAAACTTAATAATTGAACATTATACCTGTTATGGATTTCTGGCTTAATGTATTAGACCCAATGAGGTGATGAACACATCAGAGGAATGTCAGATTGAATTCTTTCCCCATCCCAAGTCAATCAGATGATTTCAAAAGTCAATTTGGCAACAGATTTTGATCATAAGAAGAAAACAGAGTTTCCATTAGGCTTTCTTGACCTTGGAACTAACGCATTAGTATTTAAGATTCTGCCATGTACCATTTCAAATGAAATACATATTTTTCCTTTAGACCTTCTCAAATACAAAAGGAAGTCATTTCATTTTTTTTCTAGTATTTTAATGCTCTCATTTTTTTAAACTAAAAGGCCATATTCATTATCCTTTCAAAACATATTATGCATACTTCATTGGGAAAGTATCAACAACTGAAAAAAGTAAAACAAAGAAAGAAAAAACAAAAACAGTCAAAAACAAACTTGTGGCTCACACCTGTAATCTTTGCTACTCAGTAGGCTGAGATCTGAGGATTGAGGTCTGAAGCCAGCCTAGACAGGAAAGTCCATGACACTCTTATTTCCAATTAGCCACCAAAAAGCTGGAAATGGGAGCTGTGGTACAAGTTAGAGCAACAACCCTAAGTGAAAAAGCTAAGAGACAGCACCCAGGCAGTGAGTTTAAGCCCCAGTACTAATTGATAAACACACAAAAAGACTGCTGAAAGAGTTAAGGCCCATAGCAATATCAGAAATCTTTCAGTGTGTGAGTTGCTTAAGGCATTCTTAACTGACCACAAGATCATGCAAGTTTATTAATTTCCCAAACCAGGTTATAAACAGCTGTAAGGATTGCACAATGGCATTTGGAGAAATTTCCACTACCAAAAATAAGAAAAATATTTTTTTAAAAAACATTAAAATAGGAGCTAATAAAAAATAGCAGAAGAAAATAAATACAATGAAGAGCTAAGAAGGATCTTAAGAATCTATTTTAAAGTCTATGGTCAGATGCTTTTTAGGCAACCTAAGGATGATCTCAATTCAGCACTTGTCAATGGAAAAAAGCCCATGACAGATGGCTATGCAGAAAGACCTATAAATCAATTTTCAGTTGTTCAGGACTGTCCTATCAATAAATTTTAAATCCCAGAATATGTACATGTAAAATATTGAGTGTATTCTTTCCTATATACCACTAGGTATTGTTTAAAAACATGAAACTTAAACATAAGCAGGCATGCAAATCAAAGTTAAATACATAATGCCAGCCAACAGTGGCTCATGGCTATAACCCTCACTAATCAGGAGGCTGAGATCTTAGGATACCAGGTCAAAGCCAGCCTCAAAGACAATTCTGGGAGACTCTTATCTCCAATTAACCAACAAAAAGATCTTAGGATACCAGGTCAAAGCCAGCCTCAAAGACAATTCTGGGAGACTCTTATCTCCAATTAACCAACAAAAAAAGGCAGGAAATAAAGCTGTGATTCAAGTGCTAAGAGTACCAGACCTTGAAAAAATTAGGAAAAGCAGGAGGCCCTGAATTCAATCCCTGCTACTGGCACCAAAATTAAAACAAAAACATAGAAAAAAGAGCTGTTCCCCCAATTTATTTTGAATCCCAGATGAAATACACTTAAGACTAATGTACAAATGTACTTGCATCAATGCTGTAAATTGTCTGTACCTCCTATTTCTTCCAGTTCTGCTTACACTACAAAGGGGGGCTGTCTATTTCATCTTATTCTCCTCTCTCCAGACACTCAGAGGAAGGTAACCTTCAAAAGAAGGCAAATCAAAGAGCTTTGTGGTGTGGCTGATCCAGCCTACCCATAGGGTCAGATCTTTACCTATTTTATTGCTATTAAAGATGAAGGAGTTGTCCTTTCCAAAAGTCCCATCAAGTGACTCTGGAAAACAGCCCACAAGCAGAGTACCATGCCTCTGTTCAGAAGAACAGAAATTTTCCTGGAATCTTAGAAAAAGGTGTTTGCTTACACCAGCTATTGAGGCCAAAGGTCATTAAATTTCTCTGTGAGATAAAAACATACTAAAGCCTAAGAAAAGAGGATGTATAGCTTAATGAGGAACACACTACCAGGTCAATGCTTATCTTTCCTCAAATGATTCATATCTTTGTTGGCCTTTTTTTATTTCTGTTTTTGAGACAGGGTCTCACTATGTAAGCCAGGCTGTGCTGAATTTTGCTATATAGCCCAGGCTGTCTCCTGCAATTCTTCTTCTTTTAATCTCCCAAATGCTAGGATTATAGGCATATACCACTAAGCCTGCTTCTATCAGCCATTTTTATATTTGGATGTGAAGAGATCAGAATTTCCACAAGCAAGACAACTGTCTACCCAAATAGTCCTAATAATCAAGCATACTAAGCTAGTTCCAACCCTTCTCTGGCAACTTTTCAAACATCAGCAAACACAACTGGATAAGAAATGAGGTTTATGGCAAAAAGACAGCTTTCATTTTAGCTCCACTTTATAATCCTAGAGCTTTCCTCCACGTATGGGTATTTTCTCCAACAATGGGTTGAATCCAACTGGATTAGATGCTCAGTTATGCTACTATGCTCATATGTGGAATCAAGGGTCCTAGAAGACATCCACTTGGTAGCTTTTCTAAAAAATGCCTAAGCAAGATCTGTCTAAAGCTATCCATCAAACAGACCTCAGAGCACTCAGAACAGTAGACGAGTTGGCTCATAGGAACCCACTGAAAAAACTAACACAAAGACAGTCCTCCGAGTCCAAGTAAGAGGAACATAGAAGTACTTTGTATACTATAATGCAGCGTAGAAATACCATGAGCATTAATAGGCAGCTAACAGTAATGCTTTCAGTCTAAACCAATCACACCACCCTTTCGGATTCAATCTACCCTTGGAATCAGTGCTTATAGTGTTTATAGTGCTTCCAACATCCAGAGAGCAGACTTGCACAAAGTAGTCTTCCCTTAAAGGTTTGGCCTAAATTTAGCTTGGAGAGTAGGAAAGTAGATTCAGAGAAAAATACTTTATGTCCCATAGTAAGGGTTATTTGGGGTTTAATAATCATTAGTTTGATTTTGAAGGGGTTGGGTGGGGACCAAAACCAAGAAACAAGAGCAAAGAGAGGGAGAAGAGGCAATTATACAAACGCAACGTCAGACGTGATTTTAAAGCAACGTGACAAGTAGATCTACCCAGATGTACAACATGATGGATGAACCCCAAACCCACAACTCAATCTCATACATGTATCCAGAGAAAGCCTGATCAGAAAGTTCCTCTGATGCTTTGACCTGCTTAAGAAGAAACACTCACACTTACTACTTGGGTGCATGCATTTAAATAGACACAGATCCAAAAATAAAAGACAGAAAGAGGAAGGCAAATCTGGCCCCGCCCATCCCCTTTGGTCTGAAACAAATTTCCAGGGGCCCTAAGAAGGGCCCTTATGGGCTCTGATTTTCAGGGACTTTCCCTGTGCAGAACCTGGTGGTATCCCTGTGCAAAGAATGCTGGGAGAAAGCATAAGCCTCAACATGGGAAGAAGATGAGAATGTGTATTGGCCTATGATACAAACAGGTGGTTCACCCAAGCAAACAGGTCTTTGGCTCTCTGCAAAATGAAAGGCCACAAAATGGGTACCAGACAGTCAGCCATTGAACAGAAAGAGCAAACTGGCAGGCCCGAGTGACCAAAGGAAAACTTGCCTCAGACTTCTCCTTCCCTGTTCTTCTTCCTATTTATGATTCTTTCCTATTTATCCATCAGAAAAGTTGTAATGTTTATCTTTCCTGAAATTGGCCAGCTCTTCCTAGATAAATAAGCCCCTCCCTTAGAAGAGATTGCACTTTTCTCGGAAACAAGAAGATCAGAACTTGGGAGATGCTTGATCTTAGAAGTTGAGTATATTTTACTTTCCTTCTTATTTTATGCCAGCCAGCTCTATTTTGAAACATTTTCTTCACTGCCAGTGAATGTTTTATCACTTTTATAATACCCTTGTCAACAGGAGTATCTGCTTCTGGAAGCTTCAAGCCACCTCTTTTCCCCGGTCCTCTACCTAAATACACACCTTCACCACACTGTTGATGAGTGATCCCGAATAAACCATTGGTTAACCATCCTGTATCTTCCCAAACCAAAGTTATCACAAGAGGCTAACGTCCATGATTGAGCAGCAGGGGTCAACCCAGGTACCAAGCTACCCAGGAGTACTCTGGGAGGAATACCAGGATACACACAGATGCCAGATTTCCCCAAGATGGTTAGTGAAACCATTTTTTCTTTTATTCTGTTCTCCTCAAGAAAAATCCTCTCTACAAAAATCCAGTGTACTTTTAAAAACCAAATTCAATGAGATTTGTTGTTCAGGTAAAACATTCTACCCAAATAAGATATTCGACTGTTTATTCAAGTCTGTCAGACTTGAATAAATGCCACCGTGAACCAAGAATTCTCTCAGCATGCTAGATATGGCTGAAATACCATGGTCTTAATATCTAGACATTCTTGGATGAGAAGGTTTAGGGCATAGACCTAACACATAAGCAAAATAAATAAAAGGAAGGACCTGAGAAAAACTCATAAAAGTATGTAATCCTTGGAAGCCCAAGAGCTTTTTTTTAGAGAAGAGATTTGACCTACCACGACTGGTCCTCCCCATACACATGTTGTCTGGGGTTAAAACTTCTTGCTTGATGGTGAAGTAGTCTGTCTGCAAGGTGTCTGTCTGAAGAGGGTCCCGGAGAATGACTGAGGGGTAATCATTCTCATACTTGAGAGACAGAAGTTCCTCTGAGCTAATGGGATGGAGCGTCTGGTAAGACTCTGTGATGAAGCTGGGCTCTGAGAATTCGGAAGGAGGAACACACTGAGCATGCTCAATACCATAGCCTGCAAACAGAATATTGGTAATTGCAGAGAGGAAAGACTTGGACCTAAACCAAGCAGTACTTTACCAACCGCAATAGCCCCACAATGTGAAATGAGCAGGCTACCTTAGAGACAAAAGGAAAATACGTTAAAAAGTCTTTGGTTTTTACTTTGCTTAGCAACCACAGTCCTTGATAAGATTTTATTTCCCTTTTCTGACTTAATTTCCTCATTTATAAAACACATTTGATTCCAGTCTTTCCCAGAGTATGGTGACAGAGCTCTAATGACAGTATATATGGAAAAATGCCTGCCAACATCTGATATCTGATGAACTCTTGATAGACAGTGGTTAATAGTAATGTTGTTATTGGAATTAAAAATTTAATAAAGAAGCTAAAATGAAAACATGTCTGTTTAAGATTACCTTTGAAAACAAGGCCATCAGATAAGAATATTCCGACACTCTACTCTTCCTCTGGTCACCTCTCTAATATATTGGAGCTAGGTTCTATTATTATTATTGTGCATGTGTGCGCTGGTACTGGGGTTTGAATTCAGGGCCTAAGCACTGTCTCTTAGCTTTTTCAATCAAGGCTGGTGCTCCACTACTTGCTAGCTTTTTGGTGGTTAACTGGAAATAAGAGTTTCACAGACTTTCTTGCCTGAGCTGGCGACAAACCTCCATCTTCAGATCTCAGCTTCCTGAGAAGCTAGGATTACAGGTATGAGCCACTGGTACCTGGCATAGTTAGGTTTTTGTGCTAAAAAGGAGACGGTTCTTTTTTTTGTAGTAAAATGTGAAGATGCATGGGACACCTTTAAGGACTTCTGAGGAAATATTGTTATATATAACAGATAAAAGGAAAGAACAAGGTCCCCTATTCCAGCCTTCTAATGGCTGCTATAGTCCACAGGATTGATTAAGATCCAAGGCTACCCCTCTGACTTTCTTGTTGAAGACTGATCAGAGAGAGGTAGGAGTAGTGCAGGAACTTTCAGGTTAATAAGGCCTGCACATAAGTTGAACTCTTGTACTTGGTGAGAATTAATAAAGATAAATCACAAAGAAAAGTCTCTAGTTAAGAAAACATTATTTTCCATAGAATTACCATGAAGAGAGCACTGAGATCCACTCAGATACACAGCAGTGGGGGGAGGGGAGAAAGACCCTATTATAGAGAGCCAAGAGAGGTTTGAGGTTTAGAGATGGAACTTACTAATGAAGTAATCCGAGGTATAACGGGATTCTGGATAAGTAGGGTTGACTCCATTAACTTGGTACGGTTTCACATCCTCTGTAAGAGACAGTAATGAATGAACTAAAGTCAACATGCACATGCAAGCAACACTTGGCCTAGGAGGATCTTGGAATCAAGGACTGCAATGATCTCAACTCCTTTTTTTAAAAAAATCTGCAAGTTCGTCAACTGAATCAGTGTCTGAGTTGCTCCTGACTGGGGCCTTGTCTCTGGATGAGATCACGAGTATGGCTAATTTTACTGTTTCAGTAGCTGCAAAATGGGATGAAATATCTTGGAAAGCGAATCCGTGAGTAATCGCTAAGGGGGGGGGGGAGCGGACGACATTCTGTCCTCGTGCCTGATGTCTTTTTCTGCTCTAAGGGTATATTCACATTAGAGATTAGGATCAAAGGCTTGATGATATCTTGGGAGATTACCAACACCCAGCACTTAAAGTGATCAATACAGACACTTCAGAAATACTTTCCAATCTTTAGGCAGGTAGATTTACATATCCTCTACTACTAGCAGACGTCTGATTTTTGCATGGTGTTTTTCTCATTGCTCTCAGAATTCAAGTTCAGGCCCAGACAAGAAGCAAGACACTGGTAAGGTAGCACCAGTGGGTAAACTATGAGGGCATGTTTACCCAAAGAGCAACATAACACAACTGCTCAGGTGCTCTTCCTTAGGAACACGAAAGGAACAGAGAGGGAAGGGTAACTTCAGATAGAAATGCTTCCCCCTGAGCCATGGTGAGCTCAGGATCCAGTGTTTACTCTGGAATCTAATGTGATAGTCTCTGACTCTTACAGGCTCTGAATGTATTTCACTGAAGAAGGAGGAGGAGGAGCAGGAGCAGGAGGAGGATCAGGAGCAGGAAGAGGAGGAAGAGGAGGAGGAAGAGGAGCAGGAGGAGGAGGAGGAGGAAGAAGAAGAGGAGGAAGAGGAAGAAGAAGAAAAAGGAGAAGGAGAAGGAGAAGAGGAGGAGGAGAAGGAGGAGCAGCTGCTGATATAAAGCGAGTATGTTGGTTTGGGGTTTTCCTCAGGTATTTGATAGCCTGCTTAGAGCAAGGGTTGATGGGAAGACATGTTTATACCTGCACAAAACAAAAAAAGAAAAAAGAAAAATAGTTCCCAGTTGAGATAAAATGATTAAACTGCTGTAGCAGCTTATCAGATTATAACATCCCCTGTCCCTTTAACCTTCAACCCCACCCCAATCAGCTATGTTCTTTGGGTGCCCTGTTGCTTTGGATTAATTACAGAACAGAGGCTGTACCCTCGGTGCAGAAATCTTACTCCTCTCTTCAAGTATGTGAATATGAACAGAGATGGTTTTTACTTCATCTCACAGGGGAACACTGGGCAGGATGGTCTTCCTTTTGTTCAAAAACTTACTTGATTACATTCTAATTCACTTAAACTCCCTTATACTGTTTTCTTTGTGGAAAGGTAAGTTGGACCTGTCTTAGAGCCAAACGCACCCAAAGAGACCACAGTATCAGAAGAAAAACACAGGGCAGGAAGCTACATTTCAAAGGATATTAAGAAAGAAAGAGAAATTAAATGAAAAAAACATTCAAGGAAATGAATGATGATAACTGAGAAAATCAGCTAACCTGACCCTCATTTTACAGACAAGGATTCCTTGCCTTGCCTGTTTCACAGGGGCTCTTTTTTTTTGCATCTTTTTTTATTGTTATTATATCAAGGTGACGTACAAAGGGCTTTCAGCAACGTACGTCAGATAGAGTACATTTCTTTTTACACAATGTCACCCCTTCCCTCCCAGGGTTACTTTGAGGATCCAAAGAGCAAATGTAAAGCACTTTGGAAACAAGGAGACATTGGAAGAATATTAGCTCTGCCTTGTGATCAGGGGTAAGCTGATCCTTTCCCCCCAATACGGAGCAACTCTGTGATGCCCAACAGAGGGAAATATTAGAGTAGTCAAATATGTCTGGGTTGCACGGTCAGCTTTTGTGTTTAGAAGTCAGCAGATACATTAGACAAGTAAGGAACCTGACATAGCTTTTGCCCTGTAAACAAGCCACTCATGTCAACACCAAGGAGTGGGTGTGGGTGCAGTTACACAGTGAACACGCCCATGGACTGAGGAAGACAGAGCTGCCTGCCAGCCCCAGAAGATTCACCTAGTTTATCACTGTGTTCATTTATTTTTCACTGTCATTGAGAAGCAGGCCCCTGCTGTGCCCGGAGGAATCAAAGGTGGGTCTCTCTAGGAGCACTGCAGTATGGAGAACATTCTTCAACAAAGGAAGGTTATTCTATGGACTCAAAGTGCTAATCCTGAGCTTTGTGCCCACCCTTCCCTCTCCCCTCTCCTGTCTGAGCCAGGCCTGGAGCTAGTGACCACAGGGAAAGGGTGGGCCTGGGTTACAGAGGGCAGCGGGCTTCTAGGCTTACAGTCAGCTGTGGGGCAACTGCTGACTGCTGGTAACTGAAATTTATTTTAAGAAGAAATTTAGAAAAATAAGCGCCAAAACACCCAAGTTTACCTCCTGCTGCTGTTTCTATACTCAGCCAGGACTGTGGGACGTGAGTCACTTGGTCCAAAAAGGTTGAAGCAGGCCGGTAGGGAAGGCCGTGTCATTACAAGGTTGCAACACTGCGTCCTCATGTGACCCCAGTCTCTGCTCCAGATGGAAAAGAGATTCTGCACTGCAGCACCTCCAGTCCAGTTTAGGGGGCAGAGAAGGCTAACATATTAATAAGCTCTGAGCTGCTAAGCTTCTCCCTGCCTATCACCAAGTATTTCATGGCCATAGATCAAGGGAGTGTGGATTACCAGGCGTGATATGGAACAGGGGACAACACTGTTCTTGAGCATGGTTCAGTCACAAAGAAAAAAATCACAGATGTAAGAAGATGGGTTAGATCACAAGAAACGACAAGAGTACAATTGATCGTGCTAAACACTAAAAAGGCTGAAACCCTATTACAAAGAAGAAAAAGGACCAACAGATAACTGAGCATCTACTGTTGATCAAGCATTACAGGACACACGTATCCTTGAAGACCATCTATGCTATGATTGAACCCCTGCAGACAATGGCATTAACAGCCCTCCAAACTGGGTCAGTCCCCCTACCTACTCTGACAACTCCAACCCTCCTCTCCTCTTCCCTCCCCATTGTTTTCACACGTTTACCTTTCTGCAGAATCTCTAGATGCTCCCATAAGATGTCACCAACAAAGTCTGGAGCCAGCTCCAGGAAGCAGTCTTTACCCAGGCCGCACAAAGCTGCTCCGCTCATACAGAACTTCTGGAAATCCACACCTTTCAGGCTGAACTCATTCACAGCCCACATCACCCAATCCCGAACATGGGTTTCCGTCCACTGTCGGGGATCTAAAGAAAAAGTCCAAATAAAAGGGCTGTGCATCAGACTCAGAAGAAAACACGGAAAGACCCGAATGTCACCGAAGACCCTTCCAGCCCCACAGAGCTGGGCAGCACCAGCCCAGGACTACTGTCCTAGATTCTTCTTCTCCACCCTCAACATCCTACCTTTTCTATCTTGCCCGTGTGGAGGGACTAGAATCAGCCAGACTGCAATGCAAGAATAGTCCCTGCCCTCTACTGAGGCAAACATTTCCATGAATCTCCTGTCTCCTTGCCTTATTTCCATTAGACATTCTTAAAAGCCTTAGAGAAGGGAAGATGGCTTAATAGCAGTAATAACAAAGCAGTGATTTCTACAGACTGCACATGCCTCTCTCAGCTCTCAACCCTTAGGTATGCTTGGGGATCAATCATTTTTCCCAATTATTTTTATCTCAGCCAATTGTGCTCAGTAATAACTGTAGTAATTAGCAATGATAAGTCATTCAAATGGTATCCGGTAATGTCATTATTAGGTGCCTGTATTATACTAGATATCCTACAAGTCTCTTCATATAAGAGGTCCTGCTTTGTGTAGCACATACAACATGTATTTTTCATGTGGGACCTGAGCTTTCACATACCACACCCACAAATGGCACTATAAAAACTCAGATGACAACTGCTTGCAGTGCCCATGTCACCAATGTGCCATAGTACCCACTTAAACCCAGCAGAATACCGCATGAGATGCTGGAAAACCCAATGGTCAGAAGTTACTTTATTCTGCCTTGTGATCTTCCAAGGGTATTTGGTATTGCTGTTCACCAAGGTTTATGGGAAAAGTGGAAGCATGGGAAAGGTGTATGGATAGATTCAAAGAATCCATGCAATATTCACAGAATCTACCTTAAGCTTGGGTTTGACTAGGCTGGAAGCCTTTCATCTAGCAGTAGAAGTGGTCTGATCTAAAGAGAGCCTTCTATTTTCCCAACAGGAAAGTAGCTCTGCTCTCAATTGTCCACAAAATGTTACTTAGTGAACCTCTTCACCCAAGTCTTCTATCTTTCAATAAATGCTTTCAAAATCAAAAGAACAACTTCATATTTATACACAGAAGAGAAAAATCAATCAGTAAATCCCAAGAAATGTGATTCACTGAGTACATCCAATGGTGGCCCAGAGTGATCCTGAAATAAAGTTTACCATTTTTTTCCTGCAGTTTGAAACCATTTAAGGAGCTTAAAAAATACAGATGTACTAGGTGCCAATGGCTCACCACTATAATACTATTTACTCATGAGATTGATATCTGAGGACTGCAGTTCCAAAGCCAGACAGAAAAGTCCATGGTACTGTTATCTTCAATTAGCCACCAAAAAGCTAAAAGTGGAACTGTGACTCAAGTAGTAGTATCAGCACTGAGAGGAAAAAAGCTGAGAGAAAAAGCACCTACGCCCTGAGTTCAAGTTCTAGTACCAGCATACACATAAAAATAATATTATAAATTCCACCAAAGGTTCAGATTGAATTAGTGCAACATAGGGCCTAGCCTTCAAAGTTTTCAATGATTTAGAAGGGATCTAAATGTGCAAATAGGCTTAGAAACTATTGTCCTAAGATTGCAAGATGCAGTGACAAGCCCAGGTGATGGTGGAATATTAGTCCATGAATCTGTTTTAACCAACATCTGTAACAACCCATTACTGCTGATTCGCATGTGGTTATTCTAATCTCTGCCTTACACCGGGTCTGTAAAGGAGCCTGCTTGAAGAACTGCCCAACAGTGTCTCTTTTTCCAGCTATGACAACATACCTTTGGGGATTCCCAGTCGTTGCTGCTCTTTTGTGAAACCACTGAACGTAGCTTTTAATGCTTGAGACATCATCTCTTTGCTGCTTGGAGTTAGTAGTGGAACATCTGCACATTCCATGTCTGTAAGGGGAAAAAAAGAAGTATATGAATAACTGAAATCAAGTGGTAATTAACTACTCGTGAAATGTAAGATATGGATACACTGAAGGTGATAACTGAGAAATTACCATGCTCACATCCTCATCAGAGCAGATAAAATTTAAAGGCCTTTCCACAATGACCTATAGGAAGTAAAAGAAAGGAGAAAGAGGAAGAGAAAGAGGGAGACAGATGAGGATGAGGATGAAGGTGGAGGAGGATGAAAGAGGAAGAGGAGGAGGAGGAAAAGAGAAGAAGGAGGAGAAGGAGGAAGAGAGAGAAGAAAGGAAGAAGAGAGGAAGGGAGGAAGGAAAAGAAGGATGGAAGGAAGGAAGGAAGGCAGGAAGGCAGGCAGGCAGGAAGGAAGGAAGGAAGGAAGGAAAAGGATTCTTACCTGAATGACCTAACCTGATATACAAGATGTGTTTATGCTTTCTGCATATTTCTGCTAGTTTACCCAACATAATACCTACTAATCTTTCATATTCACAGAAAGTATTAGTGTTACTACATATTTTCAGTTTCCTATGAAAAGGAATTCTTTTTATTGTGAAAATACAATACAGAGGGGTTACAATTACATGAGCAAGGTAATGAGTACATTTCTCTTTTTTTCTTCTATAGTCCTTTTACTTGTCAAAATAAGTACATTAAGACAGAGATTTTCATATCCCCATCTAAATTTTAGTTGAGAAAGGGAAATTTCTCATAGCTATTAGTAAAAGCATATTTATTTTGTGAAACAATAGAAAATCCTTACATTTTCTAAGTCTTTTCATCCCCTCAGCGTCTACATGATGTCCATTTCAGGACAGCCTAAAACTCACAGACATCCTTGTTCTTTATAGAAAGTGATACACTATTTACATAGGAACTTGTGACCCAGAACCTTGTATGGTCCTGAAAAGGAATTCTTATGAGCAAAGAAGCAGTGAAACAGTAGTAAATAAGATAGAAACGGCCTCCAGACACCTGATTCTTTCAACAAATGTTGTCACTCAAAAAGTCCATGGATATAGGCTCAAACACAATGTCAACAAAGGCTTCAAAGGTTAAGTACAAGGTACATGTGAACATATGAACAGATATTCCTACACATCTGGAGGAATCAAGAAAAGCCTCCCTTGGGAGAAGAGAAGCATCTGACCTACACAGAGCTTAAGAAGAAAAGAATACTCTAAACCAGTGGTTCTCAAAATATGGTACCCAGAAAGGCATCACCTAGAAATGATCAAATTCTCAGCCACTCTCCTGACCAACTCAGTTATAGGTTATGAGATATCATTCAGAAATCTGGATTTCAGAACAGAGAAAAGGTGATCCTGATGAACAGTAAAGTTAGAAGACCAAAATCCCAGTCCAAGAGAACAGAATAAATAAAAGGTATGAGACTGGAAAGGTTGAGGGGGACTTTATACATACTAGCACCAAAAGGAGGAATGAAGCAGAAGCAGTATAATGTGGGGAAGGGAGTAATTAGAGACAAAGATGAAGAGATAAGAAGGAACATTTTGGTATTTTATCCTAAATAAAACAGAAAGCCACTGAGAGTTAATGTGAAGGAATGAATGGCCTGATCACAGTGTGTTTTATAGAGTAGTTTAGGAAGTGTTCTATAAAGAACAGTTTAGGAGATGTGTATGAATGCAAGTTAGAAGGACTCTCAGTTGTGGAGATGGGAGGGAAGGGATGGTAGGGGGGAAAACAGAGGAGGCAACAATGCTTGATAAGAAATGTACTCATTACCTTGCTCATGTGATTGTAACCCCTATGTACAGTATTTTCACAATAAAAAAACTTATTATTTTTAAAAAAAGAAAGTGGTGGCTTTGACTCAAAAGGCCAAATGCTGATAGGAGAAGCAGGCAAACTTGACATGCATGAAGGAGGTAAAACTCCATACAACTTGATTTACTTGTTAACAAGTAGATAATAAAGAATGAGACATCAAAAGAATGTCACCAGGCAAACATGTCATCATTAGCCGGACTATCCCTGTATCTTTTGTGTCCAGCCCTCTTTGAACTTGCAGACTCTGATCAGAGTGTAGGAAGATACCTGTGGTTGAAATCAGACATCTTTGGAATTCACATCAGGCTCAATCGCTCCCCAAAAGCTAATCACTTCCTGAAAACTCCTGACAGTGATGCACTTCACTGATGTGAATAGTAGAAGCCTGACTTTTCTGTGTATTAGGTGGTGAAAGTGACTTATGAAATGGTTGAGTGTCAGGTCAGAGTATGACAGAAGTTCCCCCACTAAACATTCTAAACTTTTGCTAGTTAAAAACAATCCTTGAATGTACATAATATTGTCTGAATGAGAGAGAAACACAGAAGGAAAAAAGATGACAATGGGTGACTTAAAAATAAAGGATTCTACTACATAATTAATTCAACCATTTAATAAAGCAATTTATGTAAACATCCCTTCAACATCCCCCCTACCCCCACTTCCCTTATTTTCCTCAGTTGTGTGGCATAGACAATGCATTCTTGCCTGCATTCTATGCATTTGCCCCATTCATTCTTGTACCCCTCTCCTCTTGACCTCACCCCCCCACCTCACAAATACCCATTTCCTAGTACTCATTTTGTTAGGTTTTGACATAAAATTCAAATGCATAACCTAAAATTCAATCCATAATCTAAAATTAAGATAAGTGAGAGAAAGGGTAGGGTAGAAAGGGTGGGTGAGAATGTTAAAAGGAGATTTATACAGAGGCACTGTATTCATAAACAGCTCTGTTAAATGGCAACTCCTTCGTACTATGACCTAAAGAAAATAAAAATATATTAAAAATAAATACAAATAAAAATAAAGGAACAAAAATATTGTATCTGCATGTCAAAATGGATGAAAGGGACTTGGCACAAAAGACGGACAGTCAGTGCCTTCCCTCCAGTGCCTTTGCTTTTCAGCCATGCTGTCAGGAAAAGACCTATAGTCTAGGTCCTGCCCAGGAAGACCAGAAGGGCTCACTGTAGCTGCTCTTCCAAGCCTTGCCAATGACAGGGCATCTGAAGCACCAGGGAGTGGTAAATTTGGATTGCCCCGGGACGAGGCCAAAAGAAATCTGATGGAAAAATCATCATGTCTCCAGGAAGGTTGACAAAATGATGGAAAATCCCAGATTGTTAGGGGTAAAAAAAAAAAAGGAGGGGGGGAGTGTGGATTACATAATACCCAGCTCTTCAAACAATGGAGTAATCATCAAATGAGTCACTTATGAAACCCATTAATGCTCCCCGTTTGTCCCTACTCTACCAGTCCAAGAACAGCTAAGTGGCAGGTCCAGAAATGTCTCCCCTGTAAAGCGGAAGTCAATTTAACTAGAGAAAGGGACTTTTTAGTTCACTAGGGAGTGTTGGTTCTGAGAAGGGAAAATCGCAGCAACCCCAGCTCCTCGCACAAGTTATTCAACAAATATTTTATGAATTAAATTTTTCCAAATTTCAATCAATTTCCTTCCTTTCACCCCCATCCAACATAAATTGATGAGCTTGATGTGTGCGTGTGTGTGTGTGTGTGTGTGTGTGTGTGCGTCCCCTGCTTTAGATTTATGACCTCGATGAAAGAACTTCACTGGTGGCGGAAATTGGATAGAGCAACACATGGAAAAGTGCAAAACAGGCCTAATGAAGAGACAGCAGTCTCACTGAAAACTGAAATTGAAGGATGAGAACTGTCTGGGAGACCCAGGTGTCTCCTAAACCTGAAAACTTTGGCAGTGGGGTAGCAGTTTGGAGTAAATGCCACAGAGGACAGCTACAAACCTCAGTCTAAATCCTCTCACTCCTTATACTCCGTTAGTATGGTCTTGTCAGAAGCAAATACTTCTATTGGAAACTACAAGTTTCTACTTCCGGTTTGGGACAGAGCACTTCCGGCTTGTTCCCTCTGAGGGAAACAGGTGGGATTACTTTCAGCTATGCACCTCAATGCCATCTCCAGTAGTCTAGTCCACAGGTTGTCAGCTGCAGCTGCACAGAGGTCTGGAGGTGATTGCCTGCCTGGTGTTATCCTTCTGGTTGTGGGAGGTTCAAGTGCTGGTGACCCTGAGGGAGGGCTCCCAGCCCATGTGAAGGAAACTATCTCCACACATTTGAGACACCTGGTCTCCAGTAGCTGTCATACTATTGCCTTTGGACCCAAAGAAAGCGAAGTCAAGAGCTATGCACCCATTACTTTTTTCCTTCTTTTGGATTTGAACATGGGGCTTTGTGCTCTTGCTTGGCTTTTTCTGCTCCATGCTTATGCTCTAGCACTTGAGTCATACCTCTATCTTGGCCTTTTTGCTGAACAACTGGAAATAAGAGTCTTAGAATCTGTCTGTTCTGGCTGACTTCAGGCCGAGATCTTCAGATCTCAGCCTCCTGAGAAGCTAGGATTAGAGGAGTAAACCACCAGTGCCCTGGTTTTTTGTTCATATTTATAAAGTGTGGAATTGGGGTTTCATAAAAAAATATTCTCCTTCTATCTTTAAGTGAACAATTGCATTTTTCAGTTGTGTGGGCACTACACTTAAATGATGATGAATTATCACAACCCAAAGTGGACATTAATAGAAAATATTAAGCTCATTATATTAAATACTAGAGCAATAAGTCCTTCTACGTTGTCTGCATGGTTATAACAGTTCTGCTAATTACCCAGTTGATATTGATAATAGTGAAATCATCATAAAAGCAAAGAATCTAAGGTTTAATCCAAACAGATAAATTTCTCATTCTTAATATATTTTACCTCATTATCTATCATAATACTTTTTCATTCCAAGTCAGATAATCCTAATTTTAGTCATACTATCTAAACATCAATCAGTACCTCCACAGAGATTGAATTTTGTGGGAAAAATACACTGAGATGTGTTAAAATAGTATCTGAAATTCAAATAACTTGTTTGAAAATTCTGGGGATTGGACTTGAATAAATACAAAGTGCAGTGGGTATATTCATTCTATGCGTGGAAATTAGAGGCA